TGTTGATAAAAAAAAGCCTTAAACCTTTTTTCTTTTTTTTTTTTTTTTTTTTTTTTTTTTAGTAACTTTTAGGAGGGTGTACTCATTTTTGCAACACAAAATTGTATTAATTTGATAAGAAAATCTTATTTTGCTGAATAATTTTGGCATTCTTCTTTGGTAATTGATCAAGCATGCTTGTTGGAACATTATATCTCCAAAGAACCGTAAAATGTCTTCTAAGTAAAGAGTAATTGCTGAATTTGTTAAATTTTAGAGAGGGGTGTACTCATTTATGCCGTGCACTGTATATATATATATATATATATATATATATATATATATATATGTTGTTTGTCTTAATAAATTGGGCAAATTAAAAATAATTTTTTTTAGCTACATCGCCCAACCCTAGTTTAGCCATATATTAGCTTGTTATTGAGAGTGTTGGATTATAGCTATCCCAAATCACTCTGTGTTATGTGTTCTAGTACTTCAGGATAAAATTAGCACTGAAGCAGACACCCTGACAGGCACACTCACATTCAGGTTCTCAGGTTCATTAAAATAATAGTACAACTGCTTTTGTTCTTCATAATAGCTGTACAGCATTATTTCTGCCAGCCCTACAAGCCTACATTGCTTTTTTCCTTTTTTTTTTTTTTTTCAATGAACGGCAAAAAAGGGAATTCGCCAAGTACAATAAATAAAAATTAATGCTTGAAAAGAATTGTAACTGTCAATCTTCCTCTGCTTTTTGTAGGAGCTGCTGTCTCTTGCCAAGAGAAAGCGTGTGGATTCTGATGAGCAGGAAGAGCCTGTTAGTAAACCTGCCGCCTCCACAGACTCTGAGACATCAGACAGTGATGATGAGGTATAAAGCCTTTCTGTTATAACACTTTGCTGCTGATTTTTTTGGGGTTTTCTTAGTGCAATTAGACATTTTGGATATTCAATACATTTGCTTGAACTAGGGATGTCAATTTTCGTTAATTTTCATGATCGTCGTTTAAATTAACGATCAATTAATCGTTAACTTTAATGCAGCAAAATGCGTCTATTGCAGCAGCATGCAGTCACATGACAGGATGTGCAAAAGCCACTAAAAAAAAAATGCTTTCTCACCCGAATTAAAGGGGTTTTAGTCTGAATAAAATGCTAGTAGCAGGATTGTAAAATTAATAGATGTGATTATGATCATTTGATAAAATGAAGAGAGCGAGCCGAGCCGTACGTTTGAGATCATTTTACTTTGTTTCCTATCCTGACACAGAGACCGCTGAACACGCCTCTTTAAATGGTTTTGTGGTGCTCGTTATTGTATTTGAGAGTATCCACTGAACGCAAACAGCGTATGTGACACGGAGGAGACGAATTGTTGAATAAAGTCGTTATGTTTTTTCTTTTGCGCACAAAAAGTATTCTCGTAGCTTTGTAAAATCACGGTTGAACCCCTGATGTCACATGGATTATTTTACTGATCTCCTTGCTACGTTTCTGGACCTTAATCATGTAAGGACCCTTGGTGTCTATGGGAGGGTCAGAGAGCTCTCAGATTCCATAAAAAATATCTTAATTTGTGTTCCGAAGAAGTCTTACAGGTTTGGGACATAATAAATAATGTAGAAGTAAATAATGACAGAATTTTCTTTTTTGGGTGAACTATCCATTTATGTCCCTACGCATCTTGTATTTGCATTGACATCATCAAATTGCGATCGGTTCGTGAGATTGGCCAAGTGTAGTGAGTACCGATCGAGTCATATAATGGGATTATCGGCCGATCGATCGGAGCATCCCTATAAATTACCATCGCTTTTTTGCTGCATTATTTACTCCAAGTGAACTAGCTGATCCAGTGGTTTCCCTAAGGACTAATGGTATTTCAGGATGCCTGCTAAATCATTTAATCAGCACCTTACCATCGCTGCATATGAATTGCGTCCTGTCTGAGTAGGTACTACATTTGAATATGAACAAACTTTGCAGTTGACATCATCAAATTGCGATCGGTTCGTGAGATTGGCCAAGTGTAGTGAGTACCGATCGAGTCATATAATGGGATTATCGGCCGATCGATCGGAGCATCCCTATAAATTACCATCGCTTTTTTGCTGCATTATTTACTCTAAGTGAACTAGCTGATCCAGTGGTTTCCCTAAGGACTAATGGTATTTCAGGATGCCTGCTAAATCATTTAATCAGCACCTTACCATCGCTGCATATGAATTGCGTCCTGTCTGAGTAGGTACTACATTTGAATATGAACAAACTTTGCAATCATTAAAAAAGTATGCATGTTCTATCAATATTGGTAGTATGAATGAAATTCAGATGTACTAAATCTGCAATGTTGTTATTGTCATGTGACCTACCAGCATCAGTTGCATCACTTCACTGGCATTCATAAATCCTCTCCCGTGGCCTCATGGGATAGTGCTTGTGTCCATTGAATGCACACTTCAGAATCACGCCCGGAAATAGTTAGTCATCTGGGTACTTTTTGTATACTGTGAATTCGGACATACTGCTCTTTTAATGTGCTGTTTTTTTGCATACTGTATGGTATGGAAAAGTGTTGCCATTGAGATATATTGAGGTGCTTTGTAGGCTAAACTTTTTCGACAAGCTGAGGCTTGCTACTTTATTTTTCTCACTGAAGATTATTTCATGTATAAGTCGGTATTATGAGAAAGCATCTCCACATTTCAGGATGTTGTGGTCATTTAAATAGTAGCTCCTTAAACTAATAAAGCATATAAATGTGCAGTTGTCATTTTAGGTCTTGATCATTTCAGTGGAAATCAGTGTCTGACTGGGGGATTTAAGTGTGTGCTGTTGCTTATTTGAAATGCTTTTATTATGAGTCTGAAAGAAATCCTTAGTGTCCACGTGAAAAGGTGTTTGTTAATGAAATGTGTTACCGTGGTGTTCTATTGATCTGTTAGTGGACTGTCGGAGGCACTAAAACCAAAAAGAAAGGGAAGCCTAGCAAAGGGCCCGAAAAGAAGAACACAGTCAAGAAAAGAAAGGGCAAGGCGGCTTCATCCGGCAGCTCAAATGGAAACAGTTCAGCAGAGAGCTCAGCTCCAGAGGAGGGTAAGGCAGAGATTTGGATTCTGTGATGCTTTGTTTTCCAGTACAACACTGTAACTGAAACAGTAAAGTTGATTCTCCCTGCTTTACGCTTTTTAAGGTGAGGTGTCGGACTCTGACAGTAACAGCTCATCCTCCAGCTCTGATTCTGACTCGTCATCAGAGGATGAGGTTTTCCGGGACGGTTATGGAGACGATCTAATGGGGGATGAGGAGGACAGGGCCCGATTGGAGCAGATGACGGAAAAAGAAAGAGAACAGGAGCTGTTTAACCGTATAGAGAAGAGAGAAGTCCTCAAGAGGAGGTGAGAAGAATTTCAAAGCTCATATCTTGAGCAACCAAGGTCTGAATTTATAGGTCTTAACATACTTGCATACAAGAAAAGGCGGAACTGAGAAATTAGCCTAAATTACATGTTTTTTAGGAAAGGGTTATCTCAACTTGTAATTAATTATCGTAATATTCACAATGTTGTATTCTGTATTATTTTATTATAATTTTTTATATACCATTAGTATTTTTTAATATTTTGAATTAGCCTTTATTTTTAAATGTCAATTAAAATTTTAGCTTAGGTTTTAGTAATTGTTATGTGTGTTGTTTTTTTATAAAGCTGAAAATGATTTTTTTTAAAGTTTTATTTTTACTTTACAATATCAACACTGGTTGTATTGTGCAGAAATAATTCAAATCTAGCTATGAATGATGGCAGAATTTAAATAATTTGTAAAGAAACTGTGCTTATCAATTAATAGCCTATGCATTTCTCCCCAAAAGGTTTGAAATCAAGCAAAAACTGAAAACGGCAAAGAAGAAGGAAAAGGAAGAAAAGAAGAAGAAACAGGAGGAGGAGCAAGAGAAGAGAAAACTGTCTCAGGTCCCTGACACTCAGGTGGTAAGTAAACTGTGTAGGCAATTAGTCTTTCCTAAAATATAAATGCAAATATGGTGTGACATTCGTGTTTTCTCTGTCTGTTCATGCAGGTGATGTCCCATAACAAAGAGAGACGGATCAAGAGAGATGAGAAGCTGGACAAGAAGTCACAGGCCATGGAAGAGCTGAAAGCAGAAAGAGAGAAGAGGAAAAACAGAACCGGTAGGATTAATTACTTAAAATGTATCACTGTTCTTTAAAAAAATAGACAGAGTTGCTAGTATCTGATCTGTAACCCCTGACCTTTCAGCTGAGCTCCTTGCCAAAAGGCAGCCACTGAAGACAAGTGAGGTCTACTCGGATGATGAAGAGGAGGAGGATGATGATGATGACAAGTCTTCAGTAAAGAGTGACCGCAGCTCAAGGTCATCATCTTTTGATGACGAGGAGGAGTAAGTATTAGACGATACATTAACCTTCTTAGTATTAAGCAACAAACTGGACAGCTAAAATGATTGTGCATTATCAGTTTAAAAATGGAACAAAATAATTAAATGGTAATTAAAAATGAGCTTATAAAGATATACACTACCATTCAGAGCTTCCATTAAAAAAAACTACCATTTAAAACTGTAATGTTTTAAAACTAGTGCTGTCAAATCGTGATTAATCGCATCCAAAATAAAATTAGTTTACATAATATATGTGTGTGTACTAGACTATATTTATTACGTATATATAAATAGACACACATGCATGTATATATTTAAGAAAAATGTTATGTTTATATATTAAATATATTTATATATGAATTGAGTTATATGAATATAAATATATATATATACATGTAAATATTTTCTACATATATTCTGTATGTGTGTGTATTTATATATACATAATAAATATACACAGTACACACATATATATTATATAAACAAAAACATTTATTTTGGATGCGATTAATCACAATTAATCGTTTGACAGCACTATTTAAAACCGTAATATTGTGAAATATTATTATAATTTCAAATGCAATTTATTCCTGTGATAGCAAAGCTAAAGGCTATTTCAGATTATTATTATAAATGTTAAAAACTGGGTTTTTTTGGAAACCAGTATAAAAGAAATATAGTGTAATACAGCATGTTTATCAACTATACACCTGTATTTTAGGAAAGAAGAGGCTCCGCCCAAGTCCCAGCCAGTATCATTACCAGATGAGCTGAATCGGATCCGGCTGTCCCGGCACAAGTTAGAGCGCTGGTGTCACATGCCATTCTTTGCTAAAACTGTCACTGGTTGTTTTGTTCGAATTGGCATTGGAAACAGCAGCAGCAAGCCTGTTTATCGGGTCAGTGAAAAATTTCTCATCCTTTTCATGTTATAAACATCTTTCAGCTTTTATGACACCACAAACAATTGCAACCTGAAAGCACACATTTTAAGATACAATGCAGTTTCTGAAATGAACTCCTGCAGGTGGCTGAAATCATTGATGTGGTGGAGACGGCTAAAATTTATCAGTTGGGGTCCACACGGACAAATAAAGGCCTTCAGCTCCGGTACGTTTGCACAAGAAAACTGATTATATATGCATTAATCTCTTAGTCTTCCACCACTTATGTAATGTGCCATGTTTGCAGACATGGAAATGACACGCGAGTCTTCAGACTTGAGTTTGTGTCCAATCAGGAGTTCACTGAAAGCGAATTCATGAAATGGAAAGAGGCGGTAAGTTTCATGTAGTTGCATTTTAGGTTAATCGTAGAACTGCAGTCATCCTATGGCATTATGGGATTGCATGACCAGTAGTAACCTTGTTGCTGCCCCATAGATGATATCAGCTGGAATGCAGTTTCCTACTCTGGATGAGATCGGCAAAAAAGAGCAGTCCATCAAAGAGGCGGTCAACTACAAATTCAATGACAAAGACATTGAGGATGTATGTCCCAGTGCCGTCATTTCGTATTGTCTTTAATATAGGATGTTTTAATGGTTGTCAGTTTTATCAGTGTATAACAATGTGGATATTTTTTTTATTAATACAGATTGTCAAAGAAAAAGACAGATTCCGAAAGGCTCCACCAAACTACGCCATGAAGAAAACGCAGCTTTTTAAAGAGAAGGTTATACTGTTTGTGATATAACATAACACAAGTAGATATGCCCTTGTTTGGTGTGTTTGTTTATGTGCATATTTGTGATCTCATGCTAATCATGCATAACTTGTGTGTGCAGGCCATGGCTGAGGAGAGTGGTGATGGAGAGAAGGTAAAAGTACTGCAAGATCAGTTGAATGAGCTGGAGGAGAGGGCAGAAGCACTTGACCGACAGAGAACCAAAAATATCTCTGCCATCAGGTCAGAAACACACATACAGTACTACTGCTATTGATCACTACACAACAACTCAATAGTTTTAAATGACTTTTTTTAAATACATTTTAAAATGTATTTGTTTTCTGTGATTCAAAGCTGAATTTCTAGCAGTCATTACTGCAGTCTTCAGTGTCACATGATCCTTCAGAAATCATTCTAATATGCTGATTTGGTGCTCAATAAACATTTATTATTATTATCAATGTTGAAATCAATTAATATGAAAATAATATTATTTTTTGAATATAAATCTTTTGTAACATTAAAATTGTTTTTGGTGTTGCTGTTTTTATCAATTTGGTGTGGCCTTTCTGAATAAAAGTTATAATTTCTATTTAAAAAATATTTATATCTTACAGACCCCAAACCTCTAACCTGTTTTCTTCATTATCGTTTTTTTCTTTCTTTCCTTTCCAGCTATATCAACCAGAGGAATAGGAGTTGGAACATTGTGGAGTCTGAGAAGGCATTGGTGGTAAGTGTTCCTGTCAGGATTTATTTTTTGAGCTGTTACTCTACTAAGGAACATTCTGGAATCTGAAATGTCTTGGTTGTTTTTCAGGCAGAGGGTCAGAACTCGAAGAACCAGCAGATGGATCCGTTCACCAGGCGGCAGTGTAAACCAACTATGGTGTCCAATGTGAGGCATCTTTTTGTCAGCTCTGCTGTTTTCCATCGCTTTTAAGCTCATCCTTTTCTGGTCATTTTAAAAACTGAATTCTCTCTCTTTCTCTCTCTTCCTCAGGCGAGAGATCCCTCAGTCCATGCCGCGATTTTGGCTCATCTCAACCAGAAGTACGGTTCCGGCTCAGGCCAAGACAACAGCCAGCAGGCTAATAAACAGGTAACACGCACAAACACACCCACAGCAACATGAGCCTGTTCTGACCCAGAATTCACTTGCTTAATTTGTTTATTATGCAGGGCCAGCCTAGCCAGAAAGACAAAGACGTTACCAAGCCAAACAGTGACCTCTCAGAGGACCTTTTTAAAGTTCATGACTTTGATGTTAAAATTGACCTGCAGGTTCCTAATGCTGGTGAGTTTGTCTCAGATCTAATAGCCATATTCGATTTTAGCACAATTAAGCAGTGCAGTGCAATGCATTTTTTCAAAAGAAATGAATGTTTGTTCAGCAAGGATGCATTAAATTGATCAAAAGTGACAGTAAAGCCATTTATAATGTTACAAATTTCTATTTCAAAAAAATTGTTCTTTTGAACTTTCTCTTTATAAAAGAAACCCGAAAAAAGATCTGTTTCCAGATAAATGTTAAGTTTGTTTATTGAGCATCAAATCAGCATATTAGAATGATTTCTGAAGGATCATGTGACACTAAAGACTGGAGTAATGATGCTGAAAATTGTTTGAAAAATGTTTTATAATATATTATTATAGAAGAGTTATTTGAAATAGTAGTAATATAGTAAACTATTACTGTTTTTAAAAGATTTGTTTCAAAAACATCAAACCCCTAACTTTTGAACAGTTGTGTAGATGATTCTGATCCTATGATCTGATGTCTTCAATTTTAAAATTTATTTCAATCATCCACAGAAGCAAAGTCTTTGGCGGTGAGTTCGAATGCATTACCTGTTAAAGATGGGGCACCACGCCGATCTCTCAACCTGGAGGACTACAAGAAGAGACGAGGACTCATCTGACTTACGTTTTTTTTATCCTCTCCTGCATGATTGGACACCTGTGCCGGGGGTCTACAGCTGCGGCCACCCCTGTGTGTGTGTGTGTGTGTGTGTGTATGGGAAAGTGTGTGTGAGTGTGTTTGGGAAAGTGTATGTGAGTGTGTTTGGGAAAGTGTGTGTGTGTGTTTGGGAAAGTGTATGTGTGTGTGTGAGAGAGAGAGCGAGAGTGTATGATAAAGAGAAGGGATAAGTGCATACCTTTAAGACTGAGCGTGTCTGAGACTGTGAGTGTTTCACCTGTTTGTAAGTGGAAATATTGATAAATAATGATAACTTTCAGGTCTTTTCCTGCAAAGGGTCACTTTTTGAGAGATGAAAAGTCCAAAAGTGTGTGTGTGTGTTTGGGAAAGTGTATGTGTGTGTGTGAGAGAGAGAGCGAGAGTGTATGATAAAGAGAAGGGATAAGTGCATACCTTTAAGACTGAGCGTGTCTGAGACTGTGAGTGTGTTTCACCTGTTTGTAAGTGGAAATATTGATAAATAATGATAACTTTCAGGTCTTTTCCTGCAAAGGGTCACTTTTTGAGAGATGAAAAGTCCTCGGCGTTATTTACGGCGTGTGCAGACGTGAGAACAGAAATGCATTTGGGAAAGTGTATGTGAGTGTGTTTGGGAAAGTGTGTGTGTGTGTTTGGGAAAGTGTATGTGTGTGTGTGAGAGAGAGAGCGAGAGTGTATGATAAAGAGAAGGGATAAGTGCATACCTTTAAGACTGAGCGTGTCTGAGACTGAGTGTGTTTCACCTGTTTGTAAGTGGAAATATTGATAAATAATGATAACTTTCAGGTCTTTTCCTGCAAAGGGTCACTTTTTGAGAGATGAAAAGTCCAAAGACCTCTGATTCTCCTTTTCGTACCAGTGTATTGAGTATATTTTGTCCCTCTCGGAAACGACCCTTTTATATCCAAGCTTGTGAATCTCAAAAGGACACTATTAAAAAAGACAACACACATCTTGGGTTTTTTGGAAAGTTGTAATTAGTTGTCAATAATGTGTCTTCCTCACTCCCTCGTTCCTTCTGAAAACGCTCTGAAGTTTTTAAACAAGCATTTTCTTTTCTTCCCCCTCAACCCATATGTAATGGGTTGCTAGGACAGTCCTGCTTAACTCTGCTTGCTGGTCTAGAGGCCGAGGAGCCGGCCAATCAGAGAGGGAGTCAGACAATGACTTCACACTCCCTAAATATAAACATTTGTTTCATGTAAGATGATCAAATAAACGTGTCTGCCATGGATGAGAAAACTTTAAGAATTGATGTATCTTTTTGTTTTTACTGCTCTTTTTTTCCCTTCCATATCCCTCTGTCTCCCTCAGAGCTGATGTAAGTGTTAATGATCATTAACTATTGATGAAGTCTTTTAGTCAGTTCTGGTATCGTTGTGGCATGCCTTGTAAATAAGCGATCTTGAGTGAGTGCGGCTGAATAAAGGAGGAACTGTTTCATAATTCATGTGTTTGTGTATTTACTATTCAGACGACTTTAGTTTTAATTATGAAAATATATTTAATAGTTTACAGTTGGCTTTTATTGTAATATTTGAGTCATTTCAGTTTTGCAGTACCTTTTGATCTCTAACTTTAAAAAAAAAAAAAAAAAATTTACCAGATTTTAGATTTTAGACCCTAGACCCAACAACCTACCTACTAATACCACACAATTCATTAAGTGTAAAGCCAGGAAAGTCACCTGTGGAGTGTGGTTCATTTAGGCCAATCTCGCTTTTAAATGTAGATGCCAAAATTATTGCTAAAACATTGGCAGTGAGAAGAGAGGGTTCTACCTCAGTTGATACATATAGATCAAAATGGCTTTATTAAAAACCGTCAAGGGTTTCATAATGTTAGGAGAGTACTTAACCTAGTGCATGCGGGAGCTCTAGCTAACAAAATATATATTGTGTGTTTGAGTGGTCCAGATGCTACAGTTGATTTGTGTCTATTACAAGCAAGATGTTCTATTGCCCTGTGCTGGAAAAATACCAATTGGACTATGGCTGAAAAACTTAATAACATGTCTGGCTCTTGACAAACTTACATATGTATTAAGAAAGAAACCCTTTGAATTTTTTTTATATCTGGGAGGTGTTTTTGAACTTTGTTAAAAATGGAGATATTGAAGATGCTTTAGATGTGTGAAGTTATGGATTTGCGTTATTATTTTTTATTTATTTATTCATTTATTATTTATTTTATTCTTTTTTTTACCTGTCTGGGGTAAGTTGTGGGGAAGGATGATGTGTTTTTTGTAAAAACTTTGTAAAAACTTATGTTATAATATGCTATACAATTCATTAAGTGTATTGAAAATACTTGCTCATGTTTGTACTGCTGTTTTCTGACCAAAAATTATGTGAATTAATGGAGGATAATGTCATTTAAGTAACTATCTTGTGTTAGAAAAGGAATATAAGACTAATTGGATGATATTGAGAATGCATTCAAAACCTATAAATTACCAATGTAGATATCCCTCGAAAATGTTTTGTTTGAAACATTTTGATTAGAGAAAGCAAATACACCTGAAATATTTTAAAGAAATTTCTAGTTTTTCATATTAGAAGTTTGAAGAAGAAATGTCGAAGTAGTAAAATAGTCACCATATATTCTATTAATATCAAAGTTAAGTAATAGATTTTGAATTAATATGATTTCCATACTTTCAAATTACGAGCTTAATGTTTTATCTCTTATATCAACATACATTTAATAGGTCAACGAAAAGTTACTGCATGATATAATGCATAGAGGCATTATATTATATTATATTATATTATATTATATTATATTATATTATATTATATTATATTATATTATATTATATTATATTATATTATATTATATTATATTATATTATATTATATTATATTATATTATATTATATTATATTATATTATATTATATTATATTATATTATATTATATTATATTATATTATATTATGAAAGAGTACTGACCCAATTACAATCAGGCACAGCAATATCATTTAACCTTTTCTAGTCAGGCACTGTGCAGGGCGCACTGTTATGGGTCCTTCGTGTAGTTCCTGGTCCACGTCGGTCTGGATCAGGATGAGTACCAGGATAAAAACAGTCGCCGATAACCGATCAAGGGACCAGTAGACACAATTTCCCCTGAAATCCTCCAAAACATGCCCATGCAATATTTCCTTACCGCTTTTTGAGAGATCGAGAGCCGCTTCAGGTACAAAAATATGACCATACATGCAGTTATTGGGCAGAAGACGTGAAGCTGACCATGTAATGCTTAGCACTGTACTGTCATGTTTAGCGGATTTACACTACAAATGAACAAGTGTAATTTAATCGATAAATAGACGAAATGCAGGGGATAGTAATTTAAAAGTGATAGGTGTCAGTTTTGTGTAAATACACCGTGTTAAGTGGATTTGGATGCAATATGTAAACAAACATTGATCAGGGAGAACTATAAAGACATGTCAACTACGGATGAATAATTATTGCTGGAATATGCTTAGTGTAATAAATTGATATACAGTTTATAAGTTTTCATGCTAGAGACTATAAGCATTAATGCTTATTGAGAGGAGGTTAAAAACCTCTGGATGTGAAGTATAATTTAAGGTATGCGTTTTGTTTTCAGCTTATGTTTGCATTGAAGAAGTCAAATATTACAGATATGACTCTTCATTTTGACGGTTTCTCTCCGGTTAAAAAATGATCTGTTTTTCTAATAAAAATGGGAAATTATAACTTAAAATCACAAACATGTATTTAAGTTGTTGAATGCAAGACACTGGGGTAACACAAATTATATAGCATGCCATCACTTTAACATCTCTGCATGCATGTTTTCGTTTCCAGAGGATCTCAGGATGTCTTGGTTTGTTGATCTTGCCGGGAAGGCAGAGGACTTCCTAAATAAAGTGGACCAGGGTGCAGCCAGCGCTATGACAAAAAGCACTCAGAAGTCCTCCCTGTCCTACAACAGCCCTGACAGTACAGATTCGATCCAGTACAACTCTGCGGCTTACAGCTCCACCCAACAGCACAGGGACTCACAGACCTCCTCCTCATCCCATGGAACTTCAGCTTTTGTCTCCGCAGCTGCTGGGAACATAAAGAAATCCAAAGCCACTGTTTTGGCCAGTACAGCTAATGTCTCCAGCACCACGGCTTTGGGTTCTAGCAGCAAGGCAACATCCAACTTTGTGCGACCCAAAAAGCCAGAAGTAGATGATGATTTGCTCTTTGACTTCTTGAATAGTTCGGACCCACCGCAGAGTGAAAGAAAGGAGGTCCGAAGAGAGACGGTGTCTAAAGTTTTGGGTCCAGCAGGTGGGTCAGCTCAGACCCAGATGCCCCCTATTTCTGTGGCTGGCGACCTGCAGATGGGTCCCTCTGTTACTGCAAGCCCATCGTCAACACAGGGCCTGTCCAGAAATTCCAGCCTCAGCTCTCTCTCGAACAGCTCACACAGCGTTAAAACCGAGGATGGCTCCAGAGACCAAAGCCAAGGTACAAAACATACATCATACATCACTTGGTTCATTGCATTGATCTGAGAGCAAGAAATTTGACCTATTTTTATATCAATGCAGGATAATGACATTTGCTGTACTGACAAATATTTATAATATTTATATGATTTTGTCTTGCAAGTACAATTAAAGACTTTTTTTATAGAGATGTTTTGTGTATGCAAATTGTCAAGTTTTTTTTTTTTTTTGGTTAAAGTTTAATTAAATGCATTTATGGAATCTTTGTTTGCCATGAAATAGCCTGTGAAGATGAAATGGCAGCAAACTTAAATGTTATTTAATTCACCTAGTTGCCAAGGCAGTATTTTTCATAGTTTGATGCAAAGTAGTAAAATAACTAATACTAAAAAATAAAAACTATATAGACAGACAAAAAAATAAAAAAACACAGCAAATTTACTAAAACTAAATTGCTAAATAAAATACTAAATAAATAAAATTACTAATAAAAATACAAAAGCTATAATAGTAAATCAATGATAATAAAATGACATGCATACTATTTGAACTATTTTGTCAAATATATATTTAATGGCAAAACAAAAATCAATGACTTAAATGCTAAAAATG